TCTTCTGTAAGCCTTGTTAAGTATCATAAATTTGGGAGTCAAAGAAAGATTTAAAGTATTTTTCAAATATGCATTTTAAGAGCACAAAGAATGTCAGTCACTAGTACAGAATGTCCTAAATCTACTGTTACGACAGCAGAAGTCACGTGACGTTGATAACACGTCATGAGATTCTCGAGGGATCTTGACTTTTCCTGGCAACTCTAGTCTTTTCTAGGCACCCTCTTTTTTGTATATAAGCCTTAAATTAAGATTTAAATTGCATATGCAAAGTTAGCTGCCCTTTACACAGATTTTGCAGCCTGAGACTAACAGACAGCATCCATCTCTGACAGTCAACTAGCTCAATATATTTGACTGACAGTTCTTATGCAAAGATTTAATAAAAATAACAAGTTGAGGTTAGGCTTAAAAATATTTGCTGTAACCCTAAACTGATTTAAAATGTAGTAGGTAATTGTTTTTTTTTAATTTTTTTGGCAAAAAAAAATTTCTTTTAGAAATACCACTAGTTCCATAATCAACTAAAATGCAATGCTTTAAACCATGAATATGATTAGTATCAACATTTACTCTATGAAGAGAATTACAAAAATTTCAATACAAAAAAGATCCGATTTTCAAAAACTTAACAATAACACTTCTGACGAACAAGAAGTTAAAAGGATATCAGCATATCACAAGTTCTTATTGAATTCTTTCACAACACACACTTGCTAGCAATATTGACCTTGATTGATGAAATTGAATTGACAGTTGCCAACAATTTTAAAGTTTGTTCTTCAGTTTCATCTCATTTGCCAAGTGAATCTACAAGTACTTCCCTTCATGTGGATAAGTTTCTAATCGGAATTTATTTATTTTTTTATCCTAATTCTTAATCCACACGAACATTTTTCAGAGACATACACCGAATAGACTTGTGTTCACCACACTGTTGACATGTGTTCATCAATAGTAAATTATCTCCTGCTAGGTCATGAATTTATTAGTTTCGCCTGAAGGGTCCTGGGGACAAGACAAGCCATGTTGCCAAACCTCAATGCTGTGGCCATTCAGCACAGAGCCGTAGATTGGTAATCAGGCGATGCCCTACCACATTATCGTGGACTACATGAATACGTTGATAAAAATTTTAAAGTCAGTAAATTTTGTTAGATGGGTTGGTATATTGGCAGAAGTTGGTGATAAAAACTTTCCCAGGTCATAATGTCAAAAAATCTCTCAGTGGGCCCCAGTCAGTCAGGTTACAGCAAACAGAAATATTTTCAAGCCTGGTCTGTCTGATGACTCCAACATTTCAAACATGCATAATAATGCAAGATCGTGTCACCCATTACTATGAAAATGTTCTCCTTTTTGTCTGTTGTACATAGGGCAATTAATGACTCTTCATATAATAAAAATTTAATGTTAGAATTGAATCATATAAAATATATAGCAATTACTAGAAGTTATGATCTTTACATTATAGACAAGGTGTACAAAATATGTTGTAATAAATTACAAACTCCTGGATGTACCAAATTACAGACAATAAAAAAGGGAAATAAGGAAAGAATAAGTTTGCCACACATTTCATCATGGTCAACAAATATAGGTAATGTGTTTATGAAAAATACAAGTTGTCATTTAAAGTTAATATTATTAATGGTGTGAAAGATAAAACTGAAGAATAAATGTAGTATATAGAAAATTGAAGTTGTAGTTTAAATTATATCAAATAGACAAGTAGAAATGTGAAACTCAGAATTAAAGAACAGAAAAATACAATTGATAAATTGAAAATAGTGATTCGGCCTTGGTGGAACGTGTGCCAAACTTTTCAAATATTGACTGGAACAATGTACAAATAATTAAAGATGTTAAAAAAATTGATTAAACATGAATCATTAGAAATTGCTGAAAACAAAATGAGATTTAGGTCCTGGTGCCACAGAAGCAAATTTCTGGAAGTCAATTTTGTAAATGGCACTATTCTACAAGATGCAAATTGTACATGTACATTTAGAAGGTATATAAATGAAAATTTGTGTCTGTCTTCTAAGGACGGTGGAGCATGTTCCACCAAAACATGTAGCTTTTTATTCTTAACTTTACATAATTATTGTTCATGCTTGAAACACTGGAATTGTCAAATTATTATTTTTATCAAGTCATTTAGATTTTCAAACAGTCATTGACTAGTGTTTATCGGTTAACAAGAAAGCCAATTATTATTTTGCACTATGAGCTTAGTATCTGCATTTAGGGCTAACCTAAATCTCCTAAGCTGCCAACTTCATGAAATAATATTGAGATTGTGTCCCAAAATATCACCACCAGCATTCAAACCATTATAAGCTTCTGTTTTATGCCCTTATATATATAGTTAGAACATTATATTAAATTACCTGAATTATATTTAGAGGCTAGGCTGGACAATTAACTTCATTAAGGTCACAAAAATAATAAACTAATCAAAATTAGTGTTCTCAATTATTCAAACTATCCAAGTTAATGAAATACTGCCATTATTTCTCATTATTATTTTTGATTAATTCCAGTTTGGTCAGCTTAATTGATTAATGCCATGAATCAAAAAGTATCTAATCAGCATTTTGCCAATTTAAAATAATAAATTTTTGACTCACTTTGCACTGGAATATTGTTGTGTACAGAATAATGACCACTTGTATACCCCTATATTTTTATTCTCTACCTCTAACAAATGAAGTGGCATGGTTTATTATCTCTTTGTAGAGTGAAGGTGCACCTAGTAAGTGCATGATCACTTGATTCGATTGTACACCACTATTCCCCACCTCATGCTTGGTTGCCTCTGTACAACTGTATCTGTATAAAACTGTAAACTCTTACTCCAGAACAAAGCATACTTAAATTAGCCTGTACCTAACAGTAATCCTAAATAGTCCCTGTTATGCTTGGTATTTGGTAATTTATATTCAATATCATGAGGTAATGTATATTTTCATCAACAAAATATACAATAGTTTTAACACAGTTTTGTAAAAGGTTGTAGGAAGAAGCCCACAGATTGACATTAATCAAAGTTCAGCTTGTTAGAGGTTTCACACCGTGTTATGTATGTTATAAATTTCATGTAAAACAGCTTAGGATTAAGAGTAACTTAAGCCTAAATTGTTGTACATAAAGATGATGATCAGATAAAAAGTGTCAAAAATGTCTTAAACTTTGAAATAGTAAGATTTGTCTCGTATGAGAATAATCAATTTGTTGAATGTAATCGCTTAACGAGCCTGACAATTAATTAGAAGATTATATTAAGCGACATGTTCTAGTTAGGCCTGTTTTGTAGTGTAAATTTTTAGCTACTTTCAAGTTATGGAAATACCCTGAAATCGTTTTATGGGAGAGTTTTGGGTTTTTTATATACTTTACTTTTTAAACTTTTCCCAAAATTCTTCTCTGCATAGAGTGTACTTTAATGTGTATTGCAAGACTTATTATATGTATAAAAATTACTTACATTATTTAACCTTTGTTACCCCCTGAGTAGTTGGGATGCATTTCAAGTTTTCAGAATAAGTCAATGTTAAATGGGGGGTGCGAACAAGGTATACTTAAATGAACTAGGTAAGGGGTGAAGCTAACATGAATTAGGTATCTATCATTTCTAGTAATTTTTGAATAAACAACTATTTCGTTTTTTGTAACAAGGATATTTTATTGGTTAAATCTAATAACAGAAACCCTAGTTATAATCTAGGCAGGGAAAGCGCAGCTTGATTCTTTTTGGATATATTTGTCTATTGATAATCCCAATATATATGTATTACCCAAATGCACTGAGGATATCCCATCTATCAGACAAAATCCAAAGGCTGATGGCTGACTAGTCAGCCGTCATGGAAAATCATTAAAAAAAATCAATCAAATAAGGGTACGAAGCTGAGTGCTTACACCTACAATATCTCAGCTTCTACTGCCTTTCACTGTCTATAGCCAGTTGTGGGAAGACAGTTACCCTTAAATTTCTTAAAGTAGAAATGAATTGGAATAAAGCCACCCTAATATTTCTACTAATTAAACTCCCAACCTCCACCTTTACAAAAAGATATTCAACAGAACTATAAGATATTCAATAGAACTAAATAGACAGGGATTCAAACTTGCAACCCCCAGATTGCTAGTGAAGTGCCATAACCACCTGACTATGCCAGGCAAAATTATTTCTTTTTCACAACATACTCATAAACCTCTTCCATTGAGTATTTTAACTCATAAGACCAACTTTTATGCTGTATTTTTAATGAAGATATATTCTAAAATGCAATTTTATTCATCAAATATCACTTGCAGCTTTATTACATGTACTACTTTAAATTGAATTTCACTTCTAGGAGAATTATTACAAAATAATAAAAAGTTTTCATACAAGAGCCACTGCCACTGGGCAAGATGTTTAGTCATTATTTCAAGCTTTGCTATTTTTGTGTTTAGCTTTGGCCTACAAATTACATTTTCTGGTAAACTACTGTGTTACTAATATTAGTATGTATTACTATGTGCATTTTGGTCTCAAATTACTTAAGCTAATATTTCCGAGCATTCAATGATATTATTAGTAACAAGTACTAACGTAACAATAAAACTAATATTAATATCTCTAATTCTAATGCTAGTAGTAGTAATGGTAGCGCGACGCTATCATTTTTCGTTAACCCTAACGTATTAACGTTCCCGTCACTAATTTCATTACATAGATTAGTTAGCTGCGGGCTTATGTTAGTACACTGTAGCAATACTACAAAGTCACTGCCGGTAACGTAGGACTAATGCTCGTAGTACGAAGTAGGCTTAAATTTAAACTTAAAAGAGTCTAACTTCGTGTCACTCGTCACAAACTGAAGTTTAACTTAACACTACATATGCAAGCTCTAAACAATAGACTAAAGAAATCAGTCCTTTTAATCAATGTTTAAAAACGTTTATTTTACTTAAAAGTTACTAAACTAACGTAAAAGTTATTTCACTACCTTCTAAAAGTCTTGATATTATACTGTCAACATTCAGCTCCCCTTCAGCCATTTTCCCGGTGATGACGTCAACCTTTCTCTCTTTCTGTCTTTAACTCTTATACAACTATCACAAGAGGTCGTAATATATTTCTCAATATGAGTTATACGAGATATACAATGCCCTTGAAAGGTCGAAATCTCGTTCTAATGTTGTTGTTTTTTTATTCTTCGCTTCAGACAAACTACTCATCATCAGGTTTAGCTTAATGATTATGTCATCAAATTATTTGATCTTAAGTTTGTCTTTCTTGTTCTCTTTTTCGAGTTAAGAAGGTTTTTGACTCGGTACAATTTTTATCGTATTGCACTAGTCTGTAATTTGTTTGGCTGGTAGAATCGTTAAACTTATTGCTATTAACTCTCATTTTCATTCTTGGAACATTTTCAGTGTCATTCTCTTTTATGATCTTCGATAGTTTTTCTTATTCAAACTTTTATGTTAATATTATTATTTGGAGCACCGGCCTAGTGGCCTCTTATACATGCTCGTGGCTTCCAACTTCTTTTAAACGAACTTAACTGCCTAGATATTTTTTCTAAATCTTAGTAAGTACTGACACATTTCGATTTCTTGTTTTTGATACTTTTTGTGGACTTATTAAAACTATCTATGAGATCATTCTTATTGTGTAAAATATCCACAACTATAGTTAAGTTTCTCAGCATTACTTTATATATTTGCTTACTGTAATTTCAATATGTTACACTTTTTTCATCTGAATATAGCGACCATATTATTTTCTTCATTGGGTCAAATGTGGCATAGTAATCAGTGAGTCGGGCTACATCTTAAAAGGCCCAAACAACGATCTGTGATGTGGCGGAACACATTCACACTTTTATATACTGACAGGCTTCCCTCCTACTGGTTAGTAATTGAAAATTAAGAAGGCTAGACTTGAATCTTAAAGATTCCTAAGAAACCAAACAGCTCGTCCGTCTCATAAATTGGCGTTCAAATTTTAATTTCCTTTTTTATAACCTTCTTTATCACATTCCTGAGGGAAATAGGGATTTCTCTTTTATCTACACCCTAAAAATTCACTATATTTCCTTCTGCCTTCTATTAAAGTACGACTGTGGGATGACTTTAACATGCGCCATTTTAATTTTACCACATTCCAACAGTTTATTGAAAATCGTACTATATAAATAACCTTTTGCCTTTCCAAATATACTCTATAACGTTAATTCATCAAATATTTTTTTACACCTATATCGGAATATATTGGACAAAAGAAACACTTTTAATCAAAAACAAAACCTGTGGTATATTCAGGTAAAACTGAATTAACTTTAGGTATATCATATGTTTTCTACCTGCTTTAGTTATGCAATAATTTTGAGTTTTATTTTTCATTTATTCAGTTTTGGGATAAACAACTGGTCCAGAAAGTAATTCATATTGCCTTATTCTAGTTGCTTTGATCTCTTTAGTAGACAATATCTATTCTACCAGAGAGTTTATTTCAATAACATATAGCATTCAGGTTAAACCAATTAGCGACTGTTATATCCTATGCTGGCTAAATTAACCATGTGTGTAGTAGTGGTGTAAGAAGGAGTTGCAAAGTGGGAATGCTTGGCTAGACATGACCTCTCTTCCAGAAAATTAATATAATAATATAATTTACAATTGCTATATAAGTCAAATATGTAACAGTGAGGGTGCTACAGCACACCCGGTTCCAACACCTCTGTGTAGGATACAGCCAACCATTGCTGTGAGAGAACAAAGGTCAAGGGATGACACTGTTGATTAGACAAAGAACTTGAATTTACCCATAGAATTTAAAGCGTGTTTACTTAGTTCAGTTCTAACCTGGGTTTTTTGAGTAAGATATATATAATACAAATGTAAAAAAAAAATAATAATAATTTTTTTTTGTTTGTTTGTAATTAAGCACAAAGCTACACGATGGGCTATCTGTGCTCTGCCCACCACGGGTATTGAAACCCGGATTCTAGCGTTGTAAATCCGCAGACATACCGCTGTGCTACTGGGGGGCAATAATAATAATAAATAGGAATTGGAGTGCCAAAAAGTAAGGAAACAAGGTAGGAATGAGCAGAATAACATTACAATATTTGGTTGTTTTTGAAAGGTACAACCTCAAAGTAGGCGTGGCAATCGTTCCGCCAATAACTACTTCGTGTACTTTTTGTATTTTGATAATTGTTCAAACTAAATGAAAGATGTATATAGCTAAATTTCTCTGTTGTAAACTTTGTTTGAGCAACCATATACAGATACATGTATGTAATCAAATTACGAGACCCTAACGAAATTCATGAGATCGTAAGGGGGATGTTTGATGTTGGAAGTGAGACAGGAAATTCAAAATCAAAAGTCACACTTTGCTTATATGAGACATTATAACTATCTGACTGGTAAGGGGTGGGCCACAATAATAATATCAAACTGCTGGTTTTTAAAATTTAAATTTTTTTGAGTATTTAGAAGAATTAACTACTGATAAAACTCAATTCAAGTCTATAATTGGATCAAAGTTCAAATGAAAGCACGAAGTAGGAATGGGCAGAACAGTAGCTTCATCCACTTTGAAGATGCAACATGTCAAATAACACTAAGTGTGGTGATGTTATCCTGCTCATTCTTACCTTGTTTCCTTACTTTTTGGTACTCCCATTTCCAATACCTATTTTTTGTTTAAAAATTTTTACACTTGTCTCATAGCTTTTTTTGGAACTAAGTCTCGAGAGTGACTGGGCTCTAGGTTTATCCTTCTCATAACTTTTCTTAAAGCTATCTCTCCACATTTCCTGGCTTTTTCTGATATCTTTGCTGTAGTTTCCTTTCCATCTAACTAAGGTGGGAGCTCTTCTTTGGCTATGGCTTGTTTCGAACGTTCAGCATTACCATTTCTAAATTTATCTTTATTCTTGCAGCAATGCTCTCTTCATTGCAAGAAAGACTTTTCCAGGTTATCAACACAAGATTTTAGTTAGAACCTAGATCTAGAGAATCTACGTAGTCTACTTTTTTTTATATATATATCTAGCTGATACAGCTGCAGGCTGATCACGTACCATGTGCGCATAAGCAATCATGCACCCTGCACGTGATATAAAAACGGGTTGTTAATTGGCAACTCACAGAATATGCTCGTACTCATAGACGATGGCTATTAGCGTATTGTTAGCTTGTTAGTAGTGTTGCAAAATAGTTATTGTTATTACTTATTTCTAGTATTATTACCAAAGTTATAAGAAAAACAGATCTTAAGTTCAGAACTTAAAGTTCACACTCAAAGAATGAATTTTCATAACATGAGCTTTGTAAGAACAAGAATAATAACTATCGGTTCATTATTTATATATGCACCTATATAAAAGGTATACTAGTGCATTGTGTATATTACAACTAAGTTGGTGGTTCGTGTATTTAAGTCCTTTGTATTTTGGAAAACAAAATGTTTGTATCATAGGAAATTATGCATTCGATATGGCTTTTCAAAAATATAATTTTCTTGTCAAAATTCTCGTGTTTTAAGGTTTAACATTTCAAAGAAAGTTTTCCTTTCATCGATTTCGCTTTACTTTTGCAGATAAGAAGAACAGTGTTAGTAATTTTCCATATTTTATTTACCAAATCTGTGAAACATTAAAGTTGTGTGTTTATTTCTCAAACTATTAATATCTTTTGTTTTTTCCATTTTTTAAGAAAAGTTGAAATAGATTTATGATTTCAAGATATAACGTTTTTATTAAACGATAAGTTTGTAAGTTCTGTTATTTTTGAAGAAATAATAGCTAATCTGAATTTAGACGTTATTACTGTATTAAAATACCCACTTATCTCAATATTTAAAAAGTGTTGTTTTTTTTATAAAAATACCCAAGGCTATAGCCATTAAATTTTTGGGAAACAAATAGTTTTCCTAGATTTTGATGTTATTCTATGGAAAACTTGTGCTTGAAATGGACTTTTCAAAAATATAATAATTTCTCCAAAAGTTGCTACGGTTAATTCTTTAAGTATCAAAATACTCATTAAAGTCTGAATTTAAGAAATCGTTTGTTTTCGTGAAAATACCTAATGCCTCTGTATTATGGAAAACATGTTTATATCATAGGTTTTCGTTTTCTCCACAAGAGATGCAAGCATTAAACCAAGTGAGTTCCAATGTCCCACTTTCTGAAGACAATGAAGAGTGCACAACATTTTACCTAAATTCATAACTGATAAGTTTTCAGTTAGTAACAGACTTTTCAAACAATTGTTTACATTTAACGGAAATGACACCCCATATTTTGATAATGTGAAAAATTCTGCAAACAAACTCAGTAATACAGTTGGTGAATGCTTCATCCAGATTATGGACTTCATTTTTACATACCAAAAAATAGAATTTAATAAGCCAGAAAAGAACAGTTTACAGTTTAAACCGCTAAATGCATCTGATTCACTGCTACCGAAAACACTTAAAACTGAGGACTTCAATCTCCGTGTTTCATCTCAGCAGTTTTTCATTCATTTCCTGACAACTTCATCGGGTTTTAGATCCTGATGGACCTGGGAGGATCAGGTGCAAACTTGACCTCTTCCTCCTCCTGACAACTCCAGTGTTTGTTTTTGAATTTCGCGCAAAGCTACACGAGGGCTATCTGCTCTAGCCGCCCCTAATTTAGCAGTGATTGTTTGTTTTTGAATTTCGCGCAAAGCTACACGAGGGCTATCTGCTCTAGCCGCCCCTAATTTAGCAGTGATTGTTTGTTTTTGAATTTCGCGCAAAGCTACACGAGGGCTATCTGCTCTAGCCGCCCCTAATTTAGCAGTGATTGTTTGTTTTTGAATTTCGCGCAAAGCTATACGAGGGCTATCTGCGCTAGCCGTCCCTAATTTAGCAGTGTAAGACTAGAGGGAAGGCAGCTAGTCATCACCACCCACCGCCAACTCTTGGGCTAATCTTTTACCAACGAATAGTGGGATTGACCGTCACATTATAACGCCCCCACGGCTGAAAGGGCGAGCATGTTTGGTGGGACGGGGATTCAAACCCGCGATCTTCAGATTGCGAGTCGAGC